TTTTTTGCTTCATCATCTATTTCTCCTCACAGCCTTTCCTGACCTCCCTAGACTATCCAACTCTCTTGACTTGTTTTTTTCCTCCCATAACACAGACTACTTCTAATATTCTGTTTTCCCCTTAAGAATACAAGTACCCCAAAGGAGAAAAATGTTGTTTTTGCTCACTAAAGTACTCTCTGTGGTCCAGACTAGTGTCTAGCCTGTAATAGCCATTCAATAGGTATTTGCAGAATGACAAATTAGTTGGATAAAAAGAAAAAGGGGGTAGTGTTGGAAGAAAATGAAATCTTTGAGACCAACCTTCCTTTCGGGGATGTAACTTGAGGGCAAGATGATGACTTGGTATTTGTGCATGGGGATAATAAATCAAAATATCAGCACCCAAGTAGAAACATGGCCTGGAAATTAATGGGAACTACAAAAACACACCTTTGGGGAGGTTTCCTGCCTGGAGATGAAAGAATGGTGAGTATTCAATCAATTCACTCAGAAAGTGATAAAGTGATAAAGGCAAGGACACAGAGTAGGCAACAATAAAAAGAATGTGGGAGAGAGTGAATCCCAGGAAGAACCTTAAAAACAATAAAGGGACAAAGAATGGATTTTTTTTCCTTGAGGAAAGACCCTAAAGTGTCTGAGCAAACAGAAAAGAGTCAGTCTGATTTTAGATATCAGTATGGTAAGAGTTGGATTTGAGTCATGGATGGTGAGAAGCAATGCATGAGCAACAGAACTAGCTATAAAAGAGATGATTTTGGGAAAAGAACAGACACCTTCCCCCTACAAACACCAAGAAAGAAAGCGAAGAGAACTCTGAGAAAAAAGATAAAGAGAGTAAGGAAATGTATAAAACTGAAGTGCCACATTGTTTTTAATAGAATAGGTGGAAAAATGATATGCCAAGAAAGGGCTGGGACAGCTGGCACCGGGGGCATGGAATGAGAAAAGGTCTAAAATAGATCCCATGGGGAGTGAGCCTGAGAGTACAGAAAAGACAATTAAAAAGACTGCCAAATAGCAGCAGAAACCAGATTGAAGTTTGAAAGCATCCAGTTCTAATGAGCCAAATCTGCAATGCTTTGTTTGCTTCTAGCAGTGCTCCTCTCTTGGGAGAAGAAGCAAAGAGAGCAGGAGTCAGAGGTAAGCTATGCTTAGAAACTCACTGGATGAGCAAAGATGCAGAGGTTATTAATGAAGAGGCTAATCTGGGACCAAAAAAATCTAGCTCATTTGCAGCAAGGAGGGCAGCAATGCCTGAGTCAGTTCCCTGGTAAGAGTGTGAGGAAGGGGGAGAGGAATGACTGAGAGTCCAGGGCTGAAAGCTGGAACCCATGGAAATTAGAAAGCTTCAATTTTCTCACAACCCCCACCCCCAAATTCCAGTTCCTGCTGAGATCACAGAAATGGGAAGAAACAAGAAATAAATGAGATTGGAAGATGCTTAGCAGAAGACTGCTGTGAAGTGAGCAGCTGGATATGCATGGGAGGATAGGGCAGTAGAAGAAAATAAGATTTACACAAAACTGGTAACTGCTTAAAACTGTATGTATTTACAGGACTTTAACCACTAATTTTTAAGTAAAACGACACATGATCCATTAGAAAAAAAAGTGGCAGTTTTGTTGCATATAGTTTGAGGTTCCTAAATTATGACCTGTTCTTAGGAAAACAGGCTCTGCTTGTTAATGAAATCTCCACAACAAAATGCAACAAAATCATCCAGAGTGCTGAGATGGCCCTTCCTCCACTTCTCTAAATGCTTACCCCACTCTCCACATTGTTCACTCTGCTCCAACCACCTCCGCCTTCTTTCAGTTCCCAGAATAAATCAAGCTTATTCTCAACCCAGGGCCCGTGTGCCAGCTGTTCCACAATGCGTGCCACGCTCTGCCCCCAGCCTGGCCCAGGAGGGCCTTCCAGACAGCCAAGTCTGGGCTCCTCAGAGAGGCCTTCCCCAACCCTCCACCTGAAGTTGCCTGTATATACCTGTCACCTTGCTGTGTTGCTTATTCCAGATACATCTTATTTATTTTGCGTGTATAGTGATCTGCCTTCTCCAGTTACAGTATAATTCACTTGAGGAAAGGGATTCGTTCATGCAGGTCTTCATTGTCTCCCTAGTATCTTAAGTATTTCCAAGCACACAGTATGCATTCAATAAATATTTGCCAGGTCGGCACTGTGGCTTAGTAGGTTAAACCTCTGCCTGTGGTGCTGGCATCCCATATGGGCACTAGTTAGTGTCCCGGCTGCTCCTCTTCCTGTCCAGCTCTCTACTATGGCAAAGCAGTGGAGATGGCTCAAGTCCTTGGGCCCCTGCACTCACATGGGAGACCCGGAAGAAGTTCCTGGCTTCTGGCTTCAGATTGACCCAACTCTGGCCATTGTGGCCAATTGTGGACTGACCCAGCAAATGGAAGACCTTTCTGTCTGTCTCTCTCTCTCTCTTTGTAATTCTCTCAAATAAATAAATAAAATCTTAAAAAATAAATATTTTTCAAATGCCTGGATGCTAAAAACATTGTACTTTTATGCTAAAATCACAGATATTTACATCAAACAAAATTTCATTCACAAGGCTCTGTACCAAAGAACATGAAAGGCAAAGATGATATTCTTGCTGCCTTAAAACCATCCCCAAAGATCATATGTGCCTTACTGTGAGCAACACATATTATGAAAAAGTAAAATTCATTGTGAATGTAGGGAAAAGAGGAAACATCCTTAATGATGAATCTGAATAAATCTCAACAAAATTTAAATGATCAAATAGATGTAAAAATGCCAAAGCTATTTTTACCAGGCAAGAAGAGGTCTGGAAATATACACAGATTTTACAGAGTTTGAACAGTGTGAGATTTAATTAGTTAGAGCATATACACAAACAAAATGTCAGATAAATTTTCCACTATATAAATTATGAGTAATGTTTTTGCTATTTGTCTTACAATATTAGATCTAGAGAACAGGCTTCATTAAGAGGGTAAGAGGAAATGGACTTTAATCTATTCCCCCATAAAAGGCAATCCCTAAATAAGAAACTCAGTCTCCAGTAAAGTTTTCACATTTTCCATGGAAAGTATTCTCTGCCAGTTTATTACTTGAAAAAAAAAAAAAAGAGATACGTTAAAATGAAATTTCTATCCTAAAGAATAATTTGTTAGAAAATTCTCCTGACCTTTCATGTAGGACATTAATTACCAACCAAGCTCCTCTGAAATATGGGTAAAATTAAAAAACAACCTGCTTCAGTATTTCCTTACAATGCCCACGTGGAAGATAAAACTCATAAGATTAAACAATATGCAAAACTCAGACCTACTCAAATTTAGAGACATTATAAAAATAACTGTGCCATATCCTGCAAGTGCATCAAGGTCAAAAAACACACAATAAGGTAAGAAATCCATCTTTGTAATGTAGGGAATTGTTATCACTCCTAAAACCTGCAAATAGTTTTAAGGAAAAAATGAATGGGTGGATGGATGGATAAGTGGATGGATGGATGGATGGATGAATGGATGGATAAACAGATACATAAACATATAGATAGAGCAATCTAATAAAAGATATTCAAAGCTATCAATAGAAACAAAAATCTTTTCTTGCTCTCACTAAAATCTTCATTTTTAAACTGAAGTATTAACAACAGCAATAACAAAATAGTAATAGTACCAGAAGCATATTCTAGTTTGCTATATCATACTAACTTTAAAGAGAAGGAAAACAAACATAGAGATTAAATATTTTATCTAAATTTCAAGTAGGCATTATGCAACAGATGTGCAAAATGTCAATAATTGGCCTCTTTTGATCTTTGGACAAAAGTGACTGTTAAATACCTAAAGATTTTCCACTTTGGTGTAAAGCTTGGATTTATCTACATTGTAGACAATACCAATTTCAGCATTGCTACAACTTAGACATAAAAATTAACATTTTAAGTTTAAGATGACATTGGTGGAAGATTAAGAGTTAAAACATTTCTTGCTTTCATTCCTTATAAAAATATAATACTCAAGATATAAATACATGTGCATATGTACATGTTTATACACATGGAACCTTCAAAAAGTTCATGGAAATGTGTACTATCAAAAAATTATGCATGAAGTTCAAAAATGTTTGTGCCAAAATAAACTTGTCTGTCATTCCATTTTCCATGAACTTTTGGAATTCCTTTCATATATATACTTGCAATTGTGCAGTATTAGTCTGAAGCATCCAGCAGGTACCAAACTACTTGGGGAATATTTCAGTCACAAATTCTAGATTCATATTTATGATTTTTTTTCCTTTGCCATTTTACCTCTCGTCAGAAAGTAGCAAACTATGAGTAGAAATTGGAGGACACCAATGTTACATTGCCTCTGATGCAACAACATAGAGGATATAGACATGAGAAGCAGGAAACTAAGAAAAAAAATCTTTCTTGTTTAAAGAAAATTGTGATCAGGATTCAGCTAGGGAAATTTACCAACCCTTTTTGATATCAAAATACTGCTTTAGAACACACATACACACACACACACATACAGCGAATTTTCCACTGAGGTCGCACATAGTAGATATCAAAGCTGTAGCACTGACACCCCAAATCACCATCCCCAAGGCAGGAATATGTATGCTGAGTTCAGGCTGCTCACTAATTACCCTGAATTTTTTGAACCTCAAATCTTAAAAGAAAAAGCATGGTTATAAGGAAATCCAAGTTTAAAACTAAAACAGAACATTGCAATCATTTCCTAGGGGTCACTCAGTTTCCTCATTTTTTACAGTGAGCATTTTTGAGTTGATATCATGTATGCAACCATCAAAACAGTACATTTTAATTTTCAAAATACCATCAATCTAACGTTACAAAGAGATAAAGGGTAAGTTATTAACTTCATATTATGAACTGTGAGTCATTTAGCCCAGTTTGTGACAGATATTATGCATATAATAACATGTCATTAAGAAATAAAGAAATGATGGCATATCTATATTTTACTTACCAGTTGTTTCCACAATGCCTTCTAGGATGACGACAATTTCAAACTGTTCAGTTTGCATGCTTCGCTGAGATAAGTCATAAAAGGGGCTTTTGGCATCAATCACGTGGCAAATTGTGAGTGGGGACACAAGAAAAAGTTGATCTGCCCCTGTACTAAAGCCTACGTCCAGTTCAAGTTGGTCAAGGGGAAGGAACTCACCCTCAGGTGTCTGCCGAGACTAGACAAGCACACAGAGAAAAGAGAAGAAATCACCACTTGTACTGAAAATTTTAAGGCAGCCCAACAGTAATTTATATCATCGTCAACATTCTGCACTATCAATCATCTGCAACAAAATCCAAACAAATCATTATGCAGCTATGTTCTAGGCAAATGGGCCGAAATCCCACATAGCTCATGCAGAACATACATGCATTATTTATAATATACAACTTGCTATAATTACCATTCCCTAACTCAGGAGCTTTGGAGAAATGCCTAGTCCAATAATGGCTGTTAGCACAAACTGAGGAACTGAGTGTACGTGTGCTACTGCTTGACATTAATCACTGCAGGATAATTCACTGCATGCCAGATTACTTTTTTCCTCACAAAGCAAATAAGTAGGCAGTTCTTACTGTGTGTTAAAGCTGAAAAAGTTTGACTATCATTTAAAAGATTTATTGAATTATTAAGAAGCACAACATTATTTTTCTAAGATTCTTGAAAAGTAAAAAGTAGATATAAGAGTGAAAAAGTTAAACTATGTTATGTACACAAAAGTTCACATGATAAAAACAAAATGCAGATTGTGCTAGCTGATGATTTTCAAAGTCTTATAATAAGCTGGAGTATAATTGCTCAATTCTCTGTTTTATGAATTTTAAAACACAGTGAAAAATTGTGCCAAACTGAACTTTTTAAGATACAATTTTAAAAATCTGCATTTAAAAAACAATTTAGTAAAGCGTTTATAAGACACTGCCATTATTTCAGTATAAATTAATCTCAAGCTTATTCAATAAAATATATGCTAAGACTCTAAGCAAAAATGATATATAACTTAGAGACATAAGCAAACCATGAAAATAAACTTACTCATCTGTTACATATAATGATCACATATAAATAAACAAGCAAGTTTAATTAATAGGAAGATGGTGATGAGCTAAGGTTTGGTAATTAGAGGTTGCCTTTAGAAAAATGTAAGGGGGAGGGCCCCATGCTGCCAGTCAAGTGGTACTTTAAAGAATTCAATGTATATTAAAAGAATCTCTGTAACATAATTTAACAAACCAACCCAAATCTGTAACACTGGCCTGTCCAATAAATGGTAATCTGAAGACAAAATTCTTACTTTCAAGGTGCCAAGAAATACACTGGTTTGTCATGAGAGGTTTGTCTGAAAACACAGGGACATGTGGTTTAGTGACATCCTTAGTGGCAAAACAGAATGCAGTGTTTCAAATTGGTGGCAGCAATTGGAGCAAATGGTCTCAGCTTCAGACTTAGTCAACAAAAGAAGCTATTTGAAGTGAAATTCAGCAATATCATTTATGTATAAGAAAATCTAATGAAAACATGAGACTAATATTCGTCTACACCTTGTGAGTAGTAGAAAAATAGAAGAAAATTATTAATGACAAAAAAGGAAAGGAAAAACCTGAGCGTGCAAAAATAAAAACAGCAGCTCTAGAGATCAACGTTGGAGAAAGCTAGGCATTTCTAAGCCAAGATGAAAAAAGCTCTTCATAGCTTTTTTAAGTCACCTACATTTCTAAGCCTATCTTAAATTAGTAAGATATGGATGAGACCAACATATTTCCAACTACACAATTGTATGACAAATTTGATTAATGGAACAAAACAAAAGCAAAACGCAAAACAAAAATTAATAAAAACTCCAGGTCACTGTTCTCTCATCTACTAACAAGCGGGTGCTATATAAACACAAGGTGGTATTCTGATGTTTATAATTAATAACAAGAATTTATATCATTTTAGGTACTTGCTAATCTCTGCCTTTCCTGCATTAAATGGCAGTGTTGACAATAATAATTCTTTAAAAATTTAATTTCACATTATTTCAAAATAATTTCCCCAGGGAAGAATCTTTTCTATTTTATATGTACACCAATATTAAATTTATCTTCCTTTCTATAAACTTTTATTTATACCTGTGCCTTACTTTAAAAGGTTTGGGAGTAAGGCATTAAATTTTATATTCCCTAATCATTATACAACCCAGAAGTGGCCTAGAAATAGGCAGGCTATCAGGAGAATGCCATTCTGAAGTAAGTATTTTATTTTTAGCAAAACAGTTTATTAAGACATAGGTAGACTTAACTATCCATGGATCTGTTCCATTCAGACTCAGTGTATCCTCCGATTTTAAATATTTCTTTTATATAGTCCAAAGTGCACTATGTACCAGACTCAAGGGCTTTGTATGTTAATTAGGTCTTCCTATTACGTGACAGTATAGGAAAAGTAGTAATTTCATTTCTTTGAAAGATGTTTTCCATGTTTATATATTTTGCGGCAAAGTGGTAATCCCTACATATGCATTGAATTTTATTTTATAGTGATACTACATAATCTATCTTTCTATAAATGACTGAGACATAACAAATCCACAATTTTATCCTTTAGGTTCTGCTTTACATTAGGACATAAAATGAATCAACTACCAAAAGGCTCACCTCCCTGATTTTTGTGTGTGTTTCTTTCATTTTGTAAAAGACTGAGGGGTCTATTAATCACTGGAATTAGACATTTTGGCTCAGGTCAAGAGTGAAGAGTGTGGTTTTAGGGTGGCAGGTGCTTGGAGTGTTAAGAATTATTTGGAAATCTGTGCTCCTTACCACAGCTGAGTTACCTTATCAGTGCTCAACCAAATTCTTTCGATGTAAGAAAAACCTACATACAGCTACTGAATACATTTTCAAAAGCATACAAATCCCGCTCTTGGCTTCAACACAATCTAATCTAAGGATTATTCTAATCTAATCTAATCTAATCTAGGATCTTCTAACTCTGGTAAAAATCTAGAGATTTGCTGACGCAAAGGAAAAAAAACTTCATCTTAGAGTTAAGTCTCTTAATTTGTGTAAGTGGATTGAGAGAAGTTATGCTCAAGGAACTGCAATATATACAGTGATATGAAAGAAAAAGATACAGAGGAGAAAGCAATTCTGTATGTGTCTTTATATAAGTAAACTGATCTGTAATGAGTATGTAATAAATCAGTAGCACTAGCATTCCACCAGTTTTGCGTGGTCTTAACTAGCTATCAATAATCATATCTCACTCAGAAATATTTCATGATAGGCAGAATATTTTGAGATAAAAAGATTTAAGTTTGTTTAAAATTATGCTATAAGTAATTTGCTGGTGCTGGCATTGTGTCTCAGTGACATTAAGCCATGGCTTGCAACACCTGCATCCCAGCCTGAGTGCCTAAGATCAAGTTTGACCTCTACTTCAGATTCAACTTCCTGTTAATGCACAGAACAGCAGATAATGCCCCAAGTTCTTGGGCCCTTGCCATCCACTTGGAAGCCAGGATAGAGTTCCTGGATTCTGGCTTTGGTCTGGCCCAGCCCTGGCAGTTGGCAGCATTTGGACAGTAAACCAGTGTATGAAAGATCTTTCTCTTTCTCTCTGTCTCTCTAATGAGTAAATAAATCTTTAAAACAAAGTAAACCAGCAAGATATAGCAGTTTAATATTGATAGTCAAATTAATTCCTTTAGCTTTATAAACTTCTGAATTCCAAAGGGAACACAGAATCATTATCATTTCCCAGATAAAAATATGTAAATATATATGGCCTAGTAGATGAACAATAACTCAAATTGTTTTCAAATACAAAACAATTGCTGAAAGTTAAGATTGATGCCATAAATTATATAATTTCTAAACATCTTATTAGAACTGACTTCTATTTTATGCAAGTCATTTAGAATCAAAAGAACAGTGGAATAAATAATAAAATAAGAAAGATGGAAGGAAAGAGGGAAAGAAAAATTGGTAATTCTGAGAAATTCAGAAAATAATTTGGAAAAGCTATCCTCTGAGAATGACTTATATACAACTTCTGTTTTCAATTCTATAGAATCTTGGGAAGGAAAGAAAGATTTTTCTGCTATTTTAAAGTCTTCTTGATGTCATTACTACAAATTCTGGGTGTTAAGAGAAGCTCTGGGAAAATGTAAAACTTAAAATTTGATAAACTTATTGTTCAAAAATTAAATCCTTTTTAATGATTTACTTATTTGAAAGGTAGAGTGATGGAGAAGAGGGAGGAACAAAGAGAGAAAGAGATCTTCTGTCCTCTGGTTCATTCCCCAAATGCCTCAATGGCTGACCAGTCAAAGCCGGAGTTCCGTTTGGATATCTCATGTGAGCTGCAGGGGCCCAAATACTTGAGCCTTTATCTGCTGCCTTCAGAGGCACATTAGCAGGGAGCTGGATCAGAAGCAGAGCAACCAGGACCCCAACCAGTACTCCAGCATTGCCAGTGAGGCAGGTGGTAGGTTAACCTGCTATATCACAATGACAGCCCCATAAATTTAATTTTAAAATAATCAGTTTCTGAAATGATTTTATACAATTTAGATTTTTTTGACAATAGCTTATATGACATTCTTCATAAATACATGCTACTTGATAAAAATATTTCAATCATACACATTTTCATTATATGCAAAGGGATCCACGTGTAGAATTTATAGCTTGTGGAAAACTTCATGGTCAAATGTACCAAATGAAGTGAAGCTATTAAAGTCAAACGACCTCAAACTCCCTTGGAATTCCTAATGACCTACAAGATTATTAACTACAATTCTGATTACAGGTAGGAAAAAAACAAGTCCCATTTTGCCTAGAAGGGATTGTCATGGCCATGTACTTTATAGACAGATAGGTTTTATATTATATATGAGATGGTTGAGTTCTTATGCAAAGACACACATACACTACCCTGAAATGCACAGTTAGCACTGTACTGGATTATATAGATCCATATTTGGTCATCTTCTTTCTAGGGGTTATGTGGTCAACTTTCCTCATTCACTCTGCAAGGTCACAATTCACCAATACAACCTGTATCTTTGTTGCCTCCCTCCTATCCATCTGACCCATAACTGTGTTCCTTCCAAGCTGCAAATGAGGCTGGGAAACTTTGAATAAAACATTTAATTATTCTCATCTGAGAGATATTTTTCTTATCATACCC